CGAACAATAGGTAGTGTTTTTGTTACCATGAAACTGAGAAAAATGCCAGTTATCCGAAAGGAATAAGTTACAAGGCAAAGTCTGAAACCACTGATAACGACGAAGGATAAAGAGTTCAGCTTTAGATAATCTCTTAGAGATGCGCCAAAAACTCATTTCCATTGCTAGTACCGTAAAGGGCATTGAGTACATTCAACATTCAACATTCAAGTACATTCAACAAATAGGATGACTCATAGGCATCTACCAGATCTCTGTTTTTGTCCCCCCAAAAGCTCTGGCATAGAGTTCTCGACCCTGGAGAAGTGGACGACATTGTTTGGCCATGCCACCGAATAGATAGAACCAACCACAAAGTAGATATCTCAAAGCAACCACCACTTCGACCACTACGCTACACGCGCCCCGTTGTAGAAGTAAACTCCAATATTTTGCATATTCGTCCTTTTGAATTTCCACCAGATAAAAATTTCCCGCTTTAAGGGAACAAAAGTCGCCGCGAATTTGTGGCAAAGTGTAGTGGCTCACGAACCAAATGAACAGAAAACCACCCGAAGACAACGTCATGGAAACGAAGCCTCATGAGTGCATTCATGTCGATCACAACCCTTGACACTTGACACTTGAATGGCCCTTCCTAACTGATTGTGTGAGCCTCAGCATAATCTCCATTTTTCGGAGATTTGCGGGTTAAGCCATTGTGGTTCCCTGGAATCCTGAGGTCAGCCTGGCCAATGTCTGCCCCAGGTTTTCACCACCACGGGCAGTCGCAGCTCTAGTGGATCAGAGGGAGATTTGCCACCATGCGACTTTGATACCAGGACGGTGGTGGACCCTGGTATTGGTTTACTCCTAGCTAGACTTCCACATGGAAATGCCGGACTCCTTCTCAGCATGGGAGACCCTGCCAGAGGATGAATCTCTCGCTGTATATCGCAGTCCGACACCCCAGTAACACCTCCTAGCCACGATGAGGCGGTAAACCGTTGGGAGGAGTCGATTACAAACACTTTTTAATCCTATTCGGAAAGATTTAACAGTATTTCGAAACCGACTTTCTCTAAACCTCGGTGTGACTAATCAATATGTATTCTTTCTTGATAAGCGTGCACGAGGTTGATAAATATATCTATCTTCGTCTAACGTTTCGACGTCTTCGTCTTCCTCAGAGCCGATGATCCGAGTCGATGGTCCATGATTGTTGTTCGTCTCGACGTTGCAGCATCGCCTTCGTGTTGAGCCAGGTCTTCCTCAATGAGCCATCTTCTCGAATGAGCCATCATCCTCACTCAGTGATGCCCTTTTATAGGAAGACGAAGACGTCGAAACGTTAGCCGAAAATAAATATATTTATCAACCTCGTGCAAGCTTATCAAGAAAGAATACATATAGATTTAACAGTGTTTTTATCCACCCATTTTAAATCCACATGTGGCAGTAGTTTGAATAGAAGATTTCCATGGACAAAATTTCTCGCAAATTAGGATTTCATTAACGGAGATGGAGCGAAATTATGCCGTTTCAGTGGCTTACACTGATTGGGAATGAAAACTAAATGCTTAAAGAGCTCTTCTATTTGAGGAAACATAGAACGGCTTATTTTGCTCAACTATGTAGGAATGTAAGGCATTTGATAAAATTCCATGTTTATTTGCTTTCCTTCAAAAATGTAGGAAATCGGTCCTCTATCATATTTCAAGGATGAAACCAAGGTTACTGGTACTACGAAGGAGATTTGATTGTGATTGAAATTTATTCCCTCTTAACAACTGAGATCCGTTTGTAGGAAGCCAGATAAAGAATTCAACAGCGAGTACTCTAGTTGGTAAGTATACAAAGTTGATTTTAACATGGGACCATTCTCATTCCGTGGCGTTTATCCATAAATCACTAACACTCATTCATCCAAGTGCTCTCAGATCTCCACTGTCCTTCCTTTGCAGCCAATTTCCAAAACTGCAACGATACTGGATAAAACTCTTCATGTAATCAGCACATCCATTACCTTTTTGCATCGTCTCAGTTGTTCGAGAGTTTCATAAAAGCCATAGATAAGAGTCAAGCTCCTGACAGCTGAAGTTTCTTCTCTTAATCACACGACTTCGTCGATTTCCGCCGTGTGTGGTAACTGTTAAAAAATCAATTCTCTCTATTTCCAATTGTTTTCTTCAGCTTTTTTCTTTTTATTCTTGAGCTTCTAGTCTGATGTTTTAGCATCCTACTACCGGAGTTATACTTTTTATCCTTTTTTTTTACTACCAGAGTTTCCCTTTCGAGTCATCCGTGGATTAAAATTTGGATGATATTACAAAAATCATCAAATCGCTGAAACGTCTTCCTCACCTTCGTGATTCATTTGAGAAGAATATTATTGAGAAGCCATAAAACCATAATGGAAGTGGAATCCATGACAGCATAAAGTTGGATAATCTGTCGCTTCTTCGTTTAGGCATACATATGGGTTGTAATTGTTATCCGATATGTTACCTCTCGAATTTGACCGCTTGCTGTCTCGCCATCTGAGATATCATTTCTGCAGTTTGTTTGCTTTCTGATATGTCAGCTTCGATTGCTAACTATGCAACCATCTGTGATATCATTCTTTCAGTTATCCTAAACACCTAATCGATAAAAGCATTGTTTGTAACTGTCTGTTTTCAAAACAGTGTTTCTAATAACATGTACCAATATTCAATTTCAGGGCGCGTTTAGCGCATTGGTTAAAGATGTCCGGCTATACAAAGTGCGGCCGTTGATTCCAGCCCACCCCTTAGGCTAACGAAGTCGACTCCATCTATTCGGTGCTAGTCGATTGTCACCAAAATTGTATGGAAAAATTAAAAACTCCTAACGTGATATACCGGTAAGCTCGCGCAAAGCTATTCTACAGGGCAACTGCTTTAATCACCTCGACGATTCTGAGTGGGATCGAATGCGTTAAGCATCTAATAAAAGCTGATCTATACCAAATGCTCTATCTCTAATCTTTTTTTGGAATTATAGCGCAGTATGTCTGTCGAACTACCACCATTTTTAGTGGAAAGATGGAAAGATGTTTTCAGCATCTAATATAACTTCTGTACAGAAACGTTTTAAAGGAACGGGGTTTGGAAAACATTCAGGATAAATATCTCGCAAAGCTTTATCGCTTTGATCCTTCTTAATGATCATTTTAGTGCTGGATATTTCTGAGTGCTACTACCTGTGCGCCAGGAAGAGAAGGGCTCAGGTATGCCGTAAAATACGCGCATTTTCCTGGTACCTGGTTCTATAACGCACAGAAACTACTAGGCCTGCCATCCCAACGAGTTCAGTGAGTTAACACTATACTGGGTGAAGAACCCTTCTTTTCCAAGAAGTCAATGGCACCCTCTAGTGAAAACACAATAGTGGGAAGGAGAAAATCCTCAGGTTTCAGCCGCATCAACACACAAACTTGAAGATGTTCTTTGATGGAGTATGCCAGACATTCAGTGTTTTATTGCACCCACAGTCAACAATACGAACTAAAACCATGCTGGTATGGAAAGAGACACTATGGTGTTCAATGTCACGACATCTAATCCACTCATCAGGTGGTGACACTGGTTGACACCTGTGCAATGATTCATTGACATATTAACAACACCATCAATCTACACTCATTGAATCCAGCCACCTTCACTGCTATCTAAATTTCTTCCTTCGCTTATCTAAACGGTATAGGTCTTATAAGAATAGGTTACTAAAAAGTAGAGGAAACACTCAAACATGTTCTGCTGTTGAAGAAATTGGAAAAATAGAATCGGAAACGTAATCGAATGAGTTTTAGAAATGGTGGTAGAAATAAAGACGATAGCCTCTCATCGCCCTTGTTAATACCGCCTTTGTGGATCCTAGCACCATGTTTCAGCGAATGATTATGAATGCTTTTGCTTTTATTAAGCGCCTATTCTCCCTTCACGGCCGCAATTAATCGCGGGTTCGACGTCGATTAGGGTTCTGAGTTTTGCTCAAGTCTCACCATCCTTACAATTACGAAATATTTTCCAGCATTCAAAAAGAATGAAATTATTTTACGGCCTGTGGAAAAAGAGAATAGTAGAAGTTGAATCAAGAGCACGTATAGCGTAGTGGTTAGAGACGGCTTGCGATGCGCATGTGCTTCGAACACGCATTTGGGAGAAACCATGCTCATTTTTGCTCTAGGATTGATGAATTTACACCACAATTGAATGGGATAACGTTTCTGAGTTGGTGCGAGAATGGGCATACAAAAGTCATTATACAGATCAAATATCAACTGAATCACTGTACCCGAATGTGTGGCGTGCCACCAAAGAATTGATCAAAGACGAACTATTTATTCTTTAATAGACGAATGACGTATCTCCAAAACAATCTCTATTTCGTCCTTTATGATTAGAAGTGGAGTTTTCCTACCTGGCAACAACGATGCTTCTAGCTTCCAGAAGGTACGATTCCTGTGGCGATATTGATTTCTGTGGATTACTCGTCCGATCGTCCGAATGTAGCAGACTGAGTTCCGACCATAGTAGCTAACGACATTTATTCATTTGCTAATTGACGAACATACTGTCACATCGTTTTCACACCATTTGAGTGATTCCGTAAAATCTACACAAGTTAATGGCGGTCTCGAGAAGCTTTCGGCATTTGGTGGCCTACCTGGTTTTTATGAAACAAAAACGCAAAACTGTATCGTCGGGTGCACCAATTTTTTTTGTAAATGTTTAGAATAGATGCTTTAAGTGATGGGAGAATTCTGTGTAATTAAAAAAAGAACAGGTGAAATATCCAAACGATGGCATCCGCTCAAGAATTTCCTCTATGTAGCACATATCTTATCAACTTGTCCTTCTTATGCAATTCGCTTTCCAATATGGCTTAAAAAATGATGAGAAAGAAGCTCTGAGAAAAACTGGAAAAAGAACGGAACACCAAGCTGCGATGAGATCAAAGGGAAGGATGACACAGCCAATTTCGTGGACTCGTTCCGATTATGGTCGTTTAGAACGCATATTTCCTATAATTATCTCATTTTGATCCTCGGGGAGAAGCTGCACATCAAACACGACGCCGGCGAAATCCGAGAAGCCGTTCATGGTTGGCACGTTGGACTGTAAATAACACAAAAATTATATGCGTCTAGATGATTGCTGATGTGTCTTGGAAGAAATTTCCACCGAATATTATACTTAAGGGATACATGGATAAAGCTATCGGCGTTGATCATTCCCTGAGGAATCCGCCATGCGTTCGACTTTACTAACCATCTTTGGAGATGATTTAATGCTTATTTTGCCTATACAATGACTTTTGGTGGCCTACCTGGATATCAACTTAGTCATGCCATGCTCCCGGACAAGCTCGGTACCGATTTGCCGACCTTAGAGTGATGCAAGACTTGATGAGACTGCGGCGCGAGATAGAAATGTTACGCTTACTTTGGATAATCTGACTATTTTTGATGACAGCACTCATTTTAGGGTAGGAGTACTGCGTTTATAGTAGCTGTTTCAGTTCTTTAGCCAACAAAGCGTGCTATCATTACAGTCATACTGCTTCTGTTAGAAAAATTTTTAACGTGCTAAATATCCATGTAAGAAAACTGCTTTCCGTCAACATCAAAGTATCCGCAAACCTTCCTTATTGTTCTTTCAATGATTGTTTCCTCTCTTTTGTCAAACGAAATGGGTAGTGTTAATTGGTTAATTCATTTATATAACTTTTCATCTTGTTCTACGTGGATCCCATCGCACCTTTTACTCGGCACGTTGTCTTGTATACGTCATGCAGCAAACTCTTCGAAATTGCATGTGAATTCGACTTCCAGTTCCTTACTACAGGCGTTTTCCCACGTTTGTGAGTCGGAGCCAGCTTTTCTCAGAGAAGCTTGTTACCAATTTCGCGAGTATAGATTATGAGGATGGGAGGAACTTGTTATGCCTGAAAGATGTTGAGCCAATGAATAGAATATACGTTTTCCACGATATCACTAAATACTTCGCATCCATTACCTAAAGTAACAGTAAAATAAGATAAGAAGGGAATAACAGTAAAACAAGATAACGAAAATGAGAAACTAGATGAAAGAAAGCGAAAGCAAGGGTATTGGTGGTGGAATGGGGAACACATCAGCATACTGAAAGCACAGGTTCGAAGATGGCCTGGAATCTGAATTTTGCAAATCTCTCCGCTTTTTTGAGGTTCTATTTCACATAACCGTAAAAAAACAGTAGGTATTAAACAAAAAGTTAAAATAAGACAATCCCAATGTGGATTAGAGAAATAAACCTCGTGATCTGCCTTCATAAAGGGTCATTTTTGAGTTCGCCAAATAATAATAAAGGGATAGGTTAATGAAATTAGAAACATTGAAACACAACAAGTTGGACGACTGCTGCGACTGGTTTCATCAGTTTTAGACTAATGGAACAACATAAGGCTAAGCGACACCCGCTCGTGTATACTGTAAATGGAGATGTTATAATAGCAACATCTGCGCTACGGCAGCGATCGCTGTCGGTGAGGAGACGCAGCCACCGAGCCCTCGGTGGAGCCTCTTTCTCGTCGGCTTCGCGTATGACCTTCAACGGCGATTCCCTTTGTCTGAAGAACCGTCTGACACAATATTATGATGTCTATTAAGTGTGACCATGGATGAGATATCCTCGAACGAGACAGTGCTGGCTCGGTTAGGTCAGCTCGTTAGTGATGATACCATAGCTTGCAGCTATACTAACGCTCATTTATATCACTTACTGTGAAAACAAACAGCATATGTATAAGAAAACAAACATTACTCGTGGATATCGACTAAACACAGATTAAACTTACACTACAGGTTGAACAGTTAATGTTAATTAAACGTTGAAAGGAGAGTAGCGTACACCCAAAATGAGCAATTTGTCATTTTACCAGCTCTAACCAAATAAATCTACACGTGCTAATGACCTCAAGAATCTTATGGACTTAGCAATCATCAACAGATCTCAATATTAGCTCTGCCTCTTATTTACACAATGATTGCACTCGGCACACTTCCTGTCTAATTGCCAACTGCCACCTGCACCTAGTGCTTAACCCTCTGATACCACTTAAGATTTGATAGATTTACCGTATCCCTCCGGTAACATCAGCACTTATTATTGGAGTGCAGAAAGTCGTCAGGGAATAAGACAGTTTATGATCAAAATGGTCTCCATACGGATGTTGCTGTGCTTTTATGACGTTTTCCATCGTGACAAAAATCTACATCTGTACTACCACATAAATTTTTGGCGAATTCACTTCTGAAGAAACACAGCTTGTTATCGCTTCTATTCATATCATATGTTTTCTCGAAAGAGGACCTCCCCATCATAATGGCTACAGTAATCGGTCACCGATCGCATTCTCATGAACTCTATGACCCTGTCTCATATAACTGTCGTTTTGTGGGCCAACCGCTGCGCAACTACTAAACGAGCATTGTTTCATACGGTAATTGGCAGCTATCGGCAATTACGTAACTTCTTACAATCAGCTAATCACAGCATACGGTATCGAGCCAGTGAGCTTGAGCTGCTGTTGCTACTGCACCTGTTACCAGATTTTCTTATCCGCTTGTTGGGTCACTCATAATGTTCTAATTATGAAGCGGTTGATGATCCACTTAAACATTAGTAATTATACAACATGAATTGATGAACATGCTTGAGAATAGCGTTGGACACATGTGAAACACACCGGGGTAGCCACTCGGGTACGCAGTGTTAAAAGTAATTGTATAATCTGTATGTTTTGCTAAAAGCTTTATGACAGTCTTCCAAAGATCAAGCATTTTTTTTACTAGCATATATTGTGAGCATTGGCATCGGCAAAACTTGAGACAACGGTCATTTTTTCAATCGTCCCTTTTTTCCGGTTAATTGACGCTTTCCAAACAATTTCAATACTTCAAGCAGTTATACGCACTCTTCTCGTTAGCAATTTGTTTTTGTAGTATTGCGAAACATTTACAGAACGAGCAAAGCCCACTGGGCTACTCTTGCACGCGACAGGGAAAAATGGAAGATTTACTGGCGCTCGCTCGAGTCACTCGATGATCAACGGGAGAACAGGTGATACAGGTGATACAGTATTGTTAAAACGTAAATACGCTAAGCCGAATAAAGATTTTGTTATCTCGGTGCAATGCCAACCTACCTAATTAGATTTGCGGGAACACGGTAGCTTGCAGCTAGTCTAAATGTCTAAAGCATTAACTAAGCGGTTTCTTGCAATAAGTTCATGGAAAGTAAAAAAAAGAAAGTAAACGTACAATTTTGTAACAACCTCGTGTTAGCTTGTCAATGAAATAGAACCGTGAGTATATATTGGTGGCCGTACCACTTCAGTAGTGGTACCTGTCGTGTAGTAGTTAAAGGCGTTCTGCAATACAGATGTGGACTTTGGTTCAATGTTGAGCCCCAGACTCACCAAGCTTTCAATCCCTCCGGGATCGGAAAAGTGCTATCAGGTATGTCAGGAAAGATAATAACATTGACTCGATACTCGTTATATAGACCAGAAACGCATTCATTTGCTTCTAACGACGTCCGATGATGTCGATTCCAGACCATACCCCTTAGGGAATATTTGACGCCAAGCCCTTTATCGTTTACCTTTTGCACATCACTTAAATTGAATAAAATTTGACTCGATTCCTTCACTTGTGTCCTTATAATTGGATTCTTTAGTTCTACAGCTTGATTATACCATAAATAAAATCGAAATTCTTTCAAAAATACTGTACGGGTTGGTGAATAAACGACCGGAATACGGTAGGAGGTGAGTAAACTTCGTTGCCGTTGTGACACGTGATTGACACCTTTACATCAAGGACGTATGTGACGTCATCAGCAGCGTGATGACGTTACAGGGGATTCCAGAGGGAAAGGTGGGGTTGTTTACATTTGTTTGACCCATAAAATATGTTCTCCACATTCAAAAAAAACTTTTATTCATTCAATACTCAAACAGTCACCCTCACTCTCACTTGTTCTTGTGATCTCCTTTCATGAAATGTTTTAGATTCTTCTACGGTACTTTTAAGAATTCGAGTAAGTTTTCTTCAAAATCAGTCAGATATGAACTACTTTTCTTCACTAATAAAATCTACCGCATAGCTTTGAAAAGGACGCGTAGCTTCTAAAGTTCTTCAAACTTTCCAACAATCATTTTTTATCAGAGTAACTGGCTTTCCACAAGGATCTACGTGTGGGTGATTCCTTCAATTGATTAATATGGTGTTGAATATCTGCATATGTCTTACTAATTGACACGTGTTGCACAGGTGCCAGTTGACATTGACAACCTAGAGGATTTACGACCTCGACGGTTGAGCATCGAATTTCTCAAATTACTCGACTTACCTCAAGGTACTGTAATTCTGTTTAGGTTATCTGCGAGTGTATAATAAGTGTATAACAATCTGTCATGACAAATACATTTATTTAACAAGAGCAAATTTTTACATGAACTCATCTACAGCGTGAATGACTTAGATTCAGGTAAATGGGCGGAAAGGCTAGAAGAACAGACGCCAGAGCAACACTACTATCGATGATGATTTCGTATTTGGCTGAAATAGAAGTTACTCAGGCATTCAGTCATAGCTAAATCAGTAAAAAAATGGAAAACGTAACTAAAATGCGTAGAAATTGATAAGACTTCAGTTCTTACCTGGAAGCATTCTTCGTCGAACAGATCACACAACTGGAGAAGACGAGTTGCCATGATTTTCGAGCGGTTGCCTACCATATCTGGAACAATAGCAACATTTTTTTGTTGTTTTTAAACGCATCTGTTAGTTGTAACGTATTAAATGTATTAAACTTACAAGGCTCGTCCTCAACTGACTTGTTATCCTCTAAGCAAGTGAGCGTAGAAGCACAAAGAGTTGCTGAGCTTAACGATAGGTACTCATAGGATGTAGTGGCTTCGATTCCGTGGCACGGGTAGTTAACCATACCATCAAAGGTGAACATCTGAAATGAATGAACTAAAACTAGAAACTTAAGTGCGAATGTATCGGTTGGGAATGAAGGATAGCACTGACCATGTTCAGCGACAGACGACTGGTTGGGACGCCGGCACGTGCGGATATGAGGCTTATCGCTGCTCACGCCCTCCTCAGTGACCACGCCCTGCTACCGTACTCCACGTTCAGGTCACTTTTGGTGCACTCATCTTCGGGTGAGCTCAACTGATTCCTTACAGAAGTTTTACTTCTATATACCTTTAACATTTTGTGCCCCAGTCCTTGATTTCAGAAACGTTGAAGGTTCATACGAGTCTTTACAGAATTTCTTTTCATTGGCAACACTACTTACTTTTCAAAGTCCTTAACCTTGTACTTAGAAGCTCGGCTGGCTTATACGATTTCTTGCAAAGCTTTTTTGTTTATTTTTGCCTTTTGACTGCACTTTTGGTTTTGGTCTACAAAAGAGCTTGTAAAAAATCCTATTTTAGTAGTATTGGAGGAGGTAAGTATCAAAACTAGGATTTTCCAAGGTTACATATCTAGGCTTATAGTTAATGTAACGAGTGATCACCTATTTTTAATATTGTTAAGCGAAAGCCTTTATTAAATATTTAGCCATAATTCACGATCAAAAAGGCCTGTGAGCAACGATTCGCTTTCATAAGAGAGGCTATAGCTTTTCTATTCAGTCTCTTGAGTCCGTTGGGAACTAAAACCTTAGCTGGGGCAGCCACTGATTGAGAAACACTTTTCGATTGTCAATTGCTCTCAACTGACATCTTAACACTGAAAATATTACGAAAGACGATATGCTTTTCCCTTTATACCGATAATGAAAATTAAGTGTCCAATGTCCTCAATGGAGTCTACAAGGGTGAGTTTTTTCCTGCCTTAGTTTCGGCAATCACGATTTCCTCTGCACTAATACTCTCATAATTTTAGTGATTTAAAATTTATCAGCAATCATCTAGAATCACCATGCAACAAGCATGGTATATCTGACAGTGTGTTCTTTCATTGTTTCCTTAATTGAACACTCCGGATACGGTATTTCCGTTTGTCCGCAACAGGAAATCCTAATCGGAGCTAATTTCGCGCATTCACCACAAGATGAACAAATATTATTGCGTGCTGCTGTCAATTATTGCCACAGTGAGTGTGAACACCTGCGCATCGACGGAGACAGTTGGTTAATCGGGAGACGTCATGGATGGGTAAGTGGGAACGGACCATCAAAACAGAAACTGGGAGAGGTGTGCAGCTCAATGAGAAGGTTTGAAAGGTTTCTTTATCGTTTCATTTTGGTGAAAATACTAGTAATGACAGAATCGAGAGTGCCATTGAAGAGAATGTGAACGGAGTCTCCAAGAAATCTTTCTACTTGATAAACGTTCCATCAATCCTGGTATTACGGATGTCTTACCTATCTGAAGTTGGTGATCGCTTAGTATTTCGCGAAGGAGCTGCAGAACACTAAGCTGGAAGTAGTGTTGTGGTGACTTGGATTTGAATTGTTGCTATATGAGTGGAAAGCTACTAAATCGATAAAAAAGACTTCGGATTAAAGGGATTTTACTCGGATGGGGTACTTAAAACGTTTTGGTTTTGAAAACAGCTCTTAGTGAGGCCTAGGGTTTAAACAGACGTCTATAAAATCTCGAGGTTTTTGTGATTAGTAATAAAGATAATAAAATACGATTATCATGAAGGCCTTTGTTACAAAAAAAAATCTCTTTTAGTAAAAACACATACTAGAAACTTATGAAAAAGTCCAAAACTTTTCTGAACCATTCTTCGTTAAGCCAATAAACACGTAGCTTTTATTTATGGTAGAAGCTCACAAAGTCCATCGGTAACTAAAGAACATGGCTTTATCCTTGTAGAAGTCATAAGCAGATCTATTCTCACCAGTATCTCTATAGTTTGTCAACTACGGCAGCTATCCATGTGGCCTGACAACTCTACGGCAAATAGGGAAAACAGCGGCTTTTTTGGAAGACACATGAGATCGAGACCAGACCGAATGCGCTCACGCTTCATTTGACAATGGGTTTTTGTGGTGAAGATGAGCGTTCGAGGCGCTGGCTCTTTTCTGCAGTCCGCCTTTCAAAGCAACCGCACCATTGAATGGTCCAAAAAACTGGTAGCCTAACAGAAAACTCTACAACCAAAAACCAACAGCGCACGTTCTCGTTGGTGGTTTTTTGTAACCATTGCTAGTAAACGACAGCATCGCAAAATCAGTAAAGATGCAATGGCTGAGTGAAGAACAGTGAAAGAAAAGAGGGTAAAAACATTTACGATTTAAAATAAGTATGTTAAGAAAGAGCAGCAACGAACAATATAGGAGGCTTGCAGGCTTATCTATTAAACCTTAAAAACGATGGAAAGCGACCACTAGATCTAGATCTTTTATTTTTCTATTTTATTTGATTCGTTTTTATGACTACTGTGTGAATTCCAGCACTTATCACATCCAATTCGTTTCTTCGCATCCATCGTCCCCAAAGGTCTTCCAACTTGTGGTTTCGGTTGCTGCTTGAGGATTTTCATTTCATCTTGAATGTCGTAGATGCTGGATGAATGAATGCTGAATGCTGGTTGAGCAATTCTCCTTGGAGTTTTGAGATAGCCGAGCTGGAGCGTCCCCAACTGGATTGCAGAGAGTGATTTTTTCCAGAGAAGTCCGGTACCAATTTCCCGACCCCGGAGGGATGAGGGACTTGGTTGGCCCGGAGTGGAATCCAACTAGCACAAGCTCTAAATATGAAAAGGAAATAAAGTAAACTTTATAATACGAAAAAAACGACTAAAATATAGCTAAATTTTTTAAATATTTGCACTTTTCTTAGTTAACTGCAAACAAGGCTCGACATGATGAGTCTTATTCTTCGAAATAAATTCTACGAAGTGTAAATGCGGGTACAAAGGAATAAAAGTGCGGTAGGCAGGTACATGTTTAATTGCTTCCTAAGTAACGATGAATGAAAACCTTGGTTTTCTGACTAACCCAAGAAGCCTACAATGAACATCATTTATCTCTGTTGCACGTCAGGGCAGCCCAGTGGGTCCAGACTTTTGGCATGACGTTCCTTCCTAAGGATAGCCATATGGCTCACCGGATACACACATGAAATTTTGGATAGCAATCTCAATGTTCTTCTGAGCAAGGTGACCAGCCACTGGATGTACATCTTTCTGTACAATGAAGTTCGACTTTGCACAAAAGTGTGACTGAAGCCCGCAAAAATGATAAATAGAAGGATATCTTGCACTTTTACTTTTGTTTCTAGAAGACAAATGTACTGCGGTTACGTTGCTTTATCAAGTTTGTGAGCTTCGCCAATCACTCCTCGAAGGACTTCTTGAACTGTACTGGCATTTTGAAATAAGTGAAATGCACGAAGGACTGATTTATTTCAGAAGTGAAATTTCACCATATACAGTAGCAAAATGCTTTAAATGGGTTTTCATCTTATTGCTGATATCCCTACTATAGTAATTACTTGTACTCAACCTCTTAACGCTTTTTCTGGAAACATTCACTAGCCAACCTCCATCAATGACATAATACTGACTGGTTAGTCCACCTATGCTGCGTCGGCTTAGTGTGATCTTGGCCCACTTCCAATATTCAGCAACAGGTTAATTATTTATCGGCCATTTGCTACAGTAAGCTTTTCATCTTACCGCTTGTTATGCACTAGTGATACGGTAACTCGTCGATGTTCCGTATCGTTTTATTGCGGGAACTGTACATGTGAACGGAATTTTAAAGAAGAAATTAATTTAAAGGTTACAAACTTAATGAACTTCTCATCCTCACGTCTTTAGTTTACTAATAACTCAAGTTTTAATTATTTTGATAAACTTCGGCTAGAAATGGACTTCCCATATGAAAGGGTCGGAATCCAAAACTACTTTGTGTTTTTTTATTTATATAGTCTGATCTTGTTGAGCTTATGCGAGGTTGGTATAGGCTGTCTTCTTGGTCGATGGCCAATGTTTCGGCTACGTCATCTTCTTCAGAGCCTAAACTTATTTTATGTGACAGCAGTCTTATATTCGGTGAAATACTTTTCGTTTGTTCCAAGTCTACAATATAGGTACAGATACATGTCTCCTTACCGTATGAAATCCTTTTTGGAGAAAACTTCTTAGATTCCAACTTTCATAGTAAATTTTGGGCTTCGGTTGAGGTTTTTGATAAAATTTTTTGTCGTAAGCCATTTTTATATACCATAGTTGGCTGCAGTTGGGTTAAATAGCGCCTATTTAAACCTATTTTAAAACTTCTCTCTTTCGAAGCTGTGATTTTACATAATTTTTTATGAGGTCTGTCATGTTTATTGTTATTCTTTGTTAAAGGTGCATGGAAATTTCGAGAACCTTACAAAAATGATAATACTGACGGCTGGACATGATTGCTTAACCATTAGGGGGCTTAACCTGCAGTGGAGATACTTGTCGATTTGTTTACTTAGCTGTGATTGTAGTGTCAACGGCATGTAAATATACAATGTCCCCTAGGTGGTAGCGTGGTAAAGTCAATTGATGAACCACCTAGTTAACATTTCCCACCACCTACACACTAAAAAGCTGTAGAGTAATAATACAAGAGTCCGATACTGACCAGATATGCTCCATGCATTTGACTGCATTCATATGAATGCAGATTTGGCCTAGCATGTACAGTACCTTCCAAGAGCTGATCCAAGTGTAATGTCAGTGTTTCTATCCTTCTTAACATATCTAATACCAATTTACCGGACTTAAAAAGTGGACGACATGGTTTTCCCATGGTTCGGCATCGAATCACCGATCCCATATTAATTGAAAGGTGCCTCTAACCACTAGGCTGCATATTTCCGGCTTAAATGCGCGCTACAGTACTCCCTTAAAAAACAAGTGAATGATGAGCTATTTGGAATGAAAGTGAAGTGTCACTGGTCAAGATGTGACAGATGGTTGGCGGGTGTTATAGACGCTCTCCGACTGAAAGGT